GGGGGTTTAGGAGGGTGGTAGGGGGAGAGAGTTTTGGGGAGGGGGTTAGAAGGGTAAAGGGGGTGTTGATGAGCTGAGCAGTGCTAAGAACGATATTAGATTGTGTGCGGTGTAGTAAACTGTATCTTATCGTATCTTATCTTGTCTTATCGTATCTTATCTTATCTGATATAATCTTATCTTATCTCGTCTTATCGTATTTTATCTTAACTTATCTTATCTTATCTTGTATCCCTTTTTGTGTTTTCTATCTAATCTTATCTTCTAGTTTTGTCATTTCTATATGACCTTATCCCTTCCCTTCTTGTCTTTTCTGTTTTATCCGATCTCTTCCGCCTCACTTGCCTTTTCTATATTATCATATTTTATCTCTTCCTCTCTTTTATTTCTATTGTATCCTATTTCTTTCTCTCTGAATTTAAAAAAACATATTCTATTTCTTCATCTCTAATCTTTACTATTTTGATATCTATTTCTCTCTTGTCTTTTTTTTTTTTTTTTTTTGGGGGGGGGGGGGTATTTTTTATCTTATTTTGTCTTAGCTTCATCTCTTGCCCTCTTGTTTCATTTTGTCAGTCTGTTTGTTTGTTTGTTTGTTTGTGTGTTTTTGTTTTTTCTTGTTTGTTTGGTTTTGTTTTTCTAATTTATTGTATTCACTTTCCTCTTGTCTTTTCTATCTTATATTACCATGTCTGCTCTCCTCTATGCTTTTTTTAATTATCTCAACCTTTTCTTATATAATCTTATCTTATGAGCTCATTTGACCTGGTGTAGTTGCAAGCATCGTAAAATTATTGTCAAACTAATGTTTTTATCTTATCTTATTTTGTGTCTCGTTTTGCCAGATTGACAAGCCAAAAGATAACAAGGATGACGTCACTCCACAGACGTCCGACTCCGATAAGACGCCAGAGAACAGCGTGGACAACGAGCTTCCGTTCGTAGCCAAGAAAATCTCTGTGGTGGAGGCGCCGGTCAGTGACTGTTGTTGCTGTTGTTGTTGGTGGTGGTGGTAGTGGTGTTGGTGGTGGTGGTGGGGGTGGTGGTGTTGGTGGTGGTGGTGGTGTTGTTGTTGTTGTTGTTGGTGGTGGTAGTGG